TTTCAAGTTGGGTTGTATATGCCATACATCCCACACTTGTTACTGATATCCATAAAGTGGTGCGATAAAGAGCCTTGATAATAATGCCAACAATCTGATACTTGGTGTATAACTTAGGTAACATGCCTTCCACTGACCTTCTTAGAGATGAAATGTTTGTCAATATTTATCGATCTTGGTGGATCATATTCTTTAAAATACTGATGGTTGATTGAAAATTTTCTAGGGTTAGGGCACAAAACTCAAATTTAGCACTACTTCTTGCCACCACTGCTTGCTTTATACTTCTCCAAGTAACTAGGTTACCCCATACAAATGAGTAGTAACCCGTGCTAGATCTTTTGTGAGTTAGTTTTTTTTTACCTTGCTAGCATCAGTATAGATTTCAATGTCATGGTTCTCAGTTTTCTTGTTTCAATCCATGTCCTGGAGCCATCTTTAAGTTTCTCAGTATTCAAAGAACCACTTCTAGATGATCTTCATTTTGATTTTTCATATGCTGGTTCACTGCACCCATAAAAAAAAACAATGTCAGGTCTCGTATGTGATAGATAAATAAGTCCCCCCAAGTTTTTGATATCTCCCTTTTTCAATTGGGGTGTTATCCTCTTCTTTTGAGGCTCATCGATTTGGATTCTTGGGAGTATTTGTTGGTATGCACCCTAACATTCCAGTCTCCTTTAATAAGTCAATGATATTATCTCTAGAATATTACAATGTCTTTTTTGGATCTAGTTACTTCCATTCTCAAGAAGTATCTTAGAGTTTCAGGATCTTTGATCTCAAACTCAAAAGTCATTGTTTTTTTTGTTGTTTCGAGTTCATTTGAGTCATTGTCTGTAAGAATAATATCATCTACATACACAATAAATATGACTATCATACCTTTTTGATTTGATTTTACAAATAAGGTGTGATCAACTCGACATTGATAGTACTTATTGGCAATAATTGTCTTGGTGAATATTTCGAACCATACTCTGGGAGACATTTTCAACCCATAAAAAAATTTTTTTAGTTTGCACACTAGCGGATTGTTTGTGTTGTTATTTAATCCAGGAAATTTCTTCATATACACTTCTTCCTTAAGATCTCCATTAAGAAATGCATTTTTAATGTCTAGATGATGTGGAGGCTAATCTTGGTTAACAACTAAAGATAATAATACTCCTGCTGTGTTGAGTTTAGCCACTAGGGCAAATGTCTTATAGTAATCAATCACATATGATTGAGTAAAACATTTTTTTACAGGTCTAGCTTTAAAACTTTCTATGCTTCCTTCTGCTTTATATTTGACAGAAAATACTAATTTTCACTTCACAGTTTTTTTCTCATGTGGTGGAATTGTTATGATCAAGATATCATTTTCTTAAGAACAAGAATCTCTTCTCCAATATTCTTTTTCTAAACAGGAATAAATAAGGCCTCTTGAATTAAATTTGAGACCTGCACATTATCCAAGTTCTAAACAAAAGATTTGTAAATGGTTGACAATTTTTCAGAGGTCACAAATTCTTCCATCAGGTATTTTGTGCATTCTTGCTTTTCTTCTTTCTCTTGATGCTCATGATGTGTTGACCCAACCTCTGTGTGAATGCTTGGGGTGTGTAGAACTAGTTCTGGTAATTTGCATTCCTGATTTTGCATATTGTTCATTACATGCTCACTGGATTTTTTTTCTGGTGTACATACAAAGTTTTTGGCTTCTAGTGGAACCTGTGGAAAAAAATTAGTGAACTAGGATTATTTTCATGTTTATTTGTGATAGTGGGAATAAGAGTGAATTCATCAGGCTTATAAGGTAGGTGAGCTTGAGGTTTATGGATGGAACCCCAAATTCGATATTCTCTTCAACTCTCTCCTTGAATGTTGGATTTGGGGTAATATTGTTGGTTTTCAAGACATCTGTGGAGTTGTAGAATTTATATGTTACTTGAGAGTACCATTTATTTTCCTTTTTGTTTAAGGTATCCCTCAAGATGCATTTGATTGACCTCAAAACAAGTTTAGTTTGATATGGTTGATGTAGATGAGCAAAAGAGATGCAACCAACAATTTTTAGTGGCAGGTTCAAGGTGAAGGACTAAATGTGAGATTGGGATTTTATGAGAGGGTTGAGAGGTTTGTTAAAATTTAGCACTTTGATGGATATCCTATTTATGAGATAAATGGATGTGAGAATTATATCCCCCAAAAAGTTTTTAAGTACTTTATTAGTGAATTGAATTGAAAGAGTCACTTCGAGAAGATGTCTGTTTTTTTTCTAGTCACATCATTTTCTTGGGGTGTGTCAACACAAGAGCTTGTATGAATGATGCAATTTTTAGATAGATAAAGGCTGAGTATGGAGTTATAGTGGTCTTTTGCATTATCAATTTTGAGACTCTGAATTTTGCTCTAAAATTGGGCGAGGATCATATTGTAGACGGTTTCAAATATGCTGACAGTTTTAATTTATTTCTTTATGAGAAAATGTCTAAGTGGTTTTGATGTGATCAATAATGAAGGTGAAAAACGACCTAGCCCTATTTATATTTTTTATTTTGAGGGCTCCCATATATCACTATTAGCCATGGAGAAAGGGCGTGTTGGTTTATATTTTAGGCTTGGGCACACTTCTCAGTTATGTTTAGCAAGCTCACAAGTTTCACACTAATAAGAACTAGATTTTTTGTCGATAAATAAATGATGATGTAATTTTTCAAAATAATATAAATTAGGATGTCAAAGGTAAAAATGCGATAACATAACCTGACACTCATAAGAAATATACTCATAGATGACATGATTGTGAATGGTGGATTGGTTCTTTTGAAGCAAAAGCTTTAGTGAACATATAAAGTCCATGATTTTTCAACTTTTCTCGAGTCTACCTGAAATTCGCACAAATTAGGGTAGAATTTAGTAACACAATTCATGTCATAGTAAACTTGCTAATAGACAGTAAATTGCAGCAAATTTTAGGATCATAAAGCACAAATTGAGTAAAAAGATCCTTTGTGAATTTTTCACATTGTCTTCCTTCCATAGATGAAAGGGAGCCATATGCGGCTCTAACTGCAACATGGTGTTTGCAAGAATTGAAGAATTGAGAAATAATGATATCACATGTCATAAGATCTGATGCTCTAGAGTTAATTATTCAAGATTGATTCTTTTCTGTTGAGAGCAATAAGAGTAGATGAAAGGCATCCTTATTGTGCTAGATGCCTGGTAGAAGGTTTAGAATATTATTCAAAAGTCTTTGGAGAGCTTCAAGTTGTTCCTTGTTGAATGAACTATCTACATGTGGCTTGTCTTTCTTTGATGTTGTGTTTGCTCTAATTTTTCCATCACCTTTGACTTTGTTGAGCATCAAATATGCATGCTTTCCATAAATTTTCCAACACTTCTTTAAATGACAAAGCTTTTTACAATGTTGACACCACGGTTTGTTCCTTTTTGATTTGTTGTCCCGAGATGATTTGTGTGTGTATAAAACCAAGTTGTCACTATTTGATATGGTGGGATTATCTGACATCATAAGTTTCTTCTTTCTTTCTTCCCTTCGTAGTTCAACAAAAGCTTCACGAATTGATAGAAAAGGTTTGGTTCCCATGATTCTTCTTCTGACTTCATCTAATTCTTTGTTGTGTCTAAGAAGCAACTTGATTCTCTTTCGTTCAACAATTGTTTTATAAATACCATAGTCTTGTGAACACCTCCATGTGTATGTTTCATACAATCTAGTTGGAGCCAATATTTGGAGAGAGTGTTGAAATATAGATAAACATTCAACTCACTTGCCACAGATCATGTAATCTAGTTTCATTGTCAAACAACTTGGGGGTTTGTCATTTTGTATAGAAGAAAGTTTTCTCCAATTTTCGTGATCATGGAGTTGACAGACCATGACATGATCTTTTGATCTTCAATTTTCCGTGTCTGATGTTTAAGATCAGTAATTTTTTGGGCAGAATTTTTCTTGGTGAGATGATCGTATCATTTTCTTTATCACAGAAGATCAACCCAGACACACGAACTGATTGACGTAGGCAAAGCGGACGAAGATCCTATGCCGACGCTTCAAGGACGAAGATGCAATGTCGACGAGTGATCCAAGCACACTAGAACGGGTCGGAGGCCTGCCAGGATCACACAAGATAATTTTCGTGCGATAGGAAGATGCCTTTCAAAATCTGGCTGTAGGAAGAGGTTCTGCTGTGGAAGGAAAGAGTTAGGGTTTCCTTTTCTTTGATACCATATAGATTGTCGGATGAAAATTTTTTTTTGCTCTTTTCATTAAGCATATAACAACTATATATATAAAACTCAAACATTAATCCTCATACAACTAGAGAAAAATTTAAATAAAATTATAAAAGGAAATAAATAAAACATGATGAGGGATAATTAAGGAAGAATAATTCTCCCCCTCAAATATAACAACAGATCCACAGATTCCTTAATCGTGGGTGGGCCGATGACCTCCATAGTTCTTAAATCTCGCACTGAATAAAGAAAAGGCAGCTCAGGGTGGTGTGGTGAACTTTGACTTGGACTACAGTCAGGTCAATGTTGAGTATGAGGGTCCTCTGATGGACATCGTCAGCCGCCGGGGGACAGAAAGGTTACCGTCACTACTCAGGATTGGAAGATTGGTGCAGGGAAGACTCCTCACCAAAGAGACAGAAAGTGGAAAGAATACAGTATCCGGTAGAGGGGACTAGTCAGTTGCAATCGATGATCACCACACCGACGGGAGGCTTGGTCGGTGCTTTTGCTAGTAGAGTTCCTGACGCGCCACTAAGAAGGACACAACGTCGAAATGCCAATCGCCG